TATATATATATAAGGCTTATGAATGGAGACCCTTATGAACCCCCTTTAATCTTGAGTCCTTAGTCTGACTTGTACATTGAATTTTACGTTTTTTTTGCTGCTTAGAGACAGACCTGAAAAACATCTGAATCATAAACTCCTATTCAGTTCTTTCATGTGATGCAAATTCAGACATATCTACCCTCAGAACCAACTAGTAGCAACATCATCATTCCGTACCATTGATGTGATGGATGACATCTACCTGAACTACATGATGACTGCTCCTGACATCACTGGTCCTCCCTGGCCGCCTGCTCTCATTGTCATCAAGGGTCTCGGCCTCCGTATCCAGAGGGAGGAATGTGGTGATGCAACCAATAGGTCTGGATGACTAAAATCTTATCTACAGTAGCTAATGTCTTGCCTGAAGTACAATGTACTTCATTATGCTCAATCCCTCTGCACATCTAGTTGTAATGGGGATTGTAAAATTGTCGAGTAGAATGCAGTCTTTGGAAAATGAGTAATATGGACTATTTTTCTCAGAATAATTTGTTTTTTAGCCTATCCTTGCCAAGAGCTCTTCCATTGTAGACAGTACAAACCTTTTTACAGTACTAATAGCCCACACGTGTACACCACAGGGCCTATAAGACTGGAGAGTTCAGCCCCATCATCCTGGGTGTTCCAAGTTCAGCAGATGTTACAGATGGATGTGATGGGTCGGCTGTGTCTGGGATGAGTGTACGTAGTACCAGTCTGTGTTCTACAAAAATGTACTGTTACTCAAATATCTTCCACTTAAGTTTCTTGTTTTGTCTTCTTTTTCAGAAGGCCTCATGCATTGTGAAAGAATTATAGCATGTTCATGATCTCCACAAATGACAGTAGAATGCAGAAGATATGTGATGTACCAACAGGTGCTAAAACAGTAAAAGTAAATTTAAAAGGACAACCACAAGTTTGTGTTCGGTACATGTTCTACGTCACATTTCAGATCACACATGCAGAGTTCAATCCATTTGAGTACTCCAACAACTCCTACCAGGTGCGAGGTACTGTGGTGGGTCTGGCCTCCAAGATTGGCAACGCTACAAACCACGTGACTGGACTGGGACCTCCTGTTGACGTCATCATTCGTCGGAGACTGATGGAAGCAAATGACATGTTTTCTTGGGATATCACCTGTGCCTACATTGGCAATGTGACGGTAAGTCAGAGGCAAAACATTCCTGAACCATTTATTGTTTTTAACCATTTGACGTTTTTTTTGTTCTGAATGTACAGTTGAGACTGGGGCTGTACATTATAATGCACATCTAAAATTGTTGTGCAATAATGTTTTTCTTCTTCTTAAAATTTTGATGCTAACAAACTGGTTACATTTCATGTTTGCCATACAGGTTGTGCCTTTTCTAGTTCGGTACAATGGCAGCTCTCTTCATATCAACATCAAACACAACTACACGGATCCCCCGCCGGTTGTCAACCTGTTCCTCCGGAAGGACGCCCCTCCCACCCCTGAGGCGTACAACTGGACGGTGAGCCTGCCGACTCCCCAGGCAGACCTGTTCACCATTCCTGCAGGAAACGACACGGTGACAGCCAGTCCCTACAGCTGGCTTTTGGAGCCACCGGAGATCGACATCACGGAAGATGATGTGGTCAACAAGACCTATTATTTCTTGGGTATGTCCAAGCTTCAACCTTGGGTCAAAGTTCCCTGGTTTAAGCTGTCTTATAGGTTTTCTTAATCTGTTCAATATTGATTATAGCATGCTCTGGAGACAAGAAACTTTTTCCTGATGTGTGACAGTCATGGCAGTAAACATAGTTTTACGTTACAGGGATACAGTTTGTGGATGGAGAAGATGCTGTTACACCTCTTAACTTCTCTGTGTGTGTGATGGAGACCATGTGTGTGTACTTTGGAGATGAGTGGGAAAATGAGGAAGACCATCTGTGGCATGGTCAAGGTTGCAAGGTAGTAACCATTTCTTCTGGAAGCCAGATAGAAACTGTTTAAGGAGCTAAAAATCTGCAAGATTTAAGCAATGTGATTTGTAATTTTGTTCCTATTTTTCCTTATTCATTTGCTTGTTACAAATCCCACATATTGCCCAATGTACCACCCGACCTAATCTCTGTTACCTCCAGCCTGGAGCGTTATCCAATTCTACTCACATACACTGCCGCTGTAACCATCTCACCAAGTTCACTGGCTTAGTGGCTCCTAATCCCATCAACTTCAGCGAGGTTTTCACAAAAGACATTCTTCAGGTACTGTTCATGTTTTGTGAACGATTTATTCCTTCAATGTGTCAGTGAAGGTTAGACATCTAGTAGGTACAACGTCATTTCCTTCAGTGCACCTTGTTCCATCCTTATCTTTGTGGTTCAGGACTAGGGTTGCTACCAGAACCAGATTTGAGGATAACACAATGATTTTCGATTTTATTCTACTTGACGTTACTTCTTTTATATCATGTATGTAATATTACTATCATGTATATGTCTGAATTCAGTGTCTACAATGTCAGTCTAGTATTAACAATTACCTTTGTCATAATGATTACAGTTGTCATCAAGTAAAGCTTATGATGAACAAAGTTATCTCATTGTTAAGAAATGTTTTGTCTGTAGAACCCGATTGGATTGATCCTAGTTTTGTCCACCTTCCTGCTCTACCTCCTGTTAGTTTTGTGGTCAAGAAGGAAAGACAGACATGATCTTGCTAAGGTAAGGCAATGTCTATAATGTATTATGAATGTCAATGATGATGATGCTACCATTACAGGGGGTGGCACTTATCCTGATCAGCACATGGTGTGCAATTTTTTTTGTTGGAGTTAAGTTATCATGCTGTGGAGATATAACCTCAATCAACATGTTAGAATGATCTGTAGCGCTCAAAAGATAATCTGTTATTTGGGTACCTGTCAGTAATGTTCTAATTGTGTTCTGACTTCATAGGTCGGTGTTGCTGCACCCCAAGGTCACATCCTGAACCCTGACCCCTGGTGTCAGTATGTCGTCACTTTGTACACAGGATTTAAAGGAGGATCCTGGACAACAGCTACTGTAAGTAGTAATTGGTTGCATTCAATTTGAAAATTTTTTGACATTTGATGAAACTAGCTCTCATACAATTGTACCTTGTCCTCTTTAAGGCCACACAGTTACTAGGTGTCTTGTAGAGCTGTAACTTTAAAATGACACAGTTGTATTAACCTTCTCCTTGCTAGCCCTATAACTAATAGAGAATTCATGGCCAAATGGCCAAGTCAGTGTAAGGCTAAAATGTTTTATTTGCTGTGTTAGGTATGGATTAATCTGTTTGGAGACTATGGACGGACAGGACCGATCGCACTGCAAGACGAGAACCGTCCACTGTTTGAAGAGGGCAGCGTGGACTCCTTTCTGGTGTCGTCACAGAACATCATCGGGATGATTCATGTTGTTCATATTTGGCATGACAACACGGGCTACAGCCCAGAATGGTAAGATTTTGTTGGATGTATAATGGACGGAAAACAAATAAATTGAAAATGTTTTTGGCCCTATGTAAGGGTTTTATCTTTCTGTCTTTCAGGTTTCTTGGCCAGGTTGTGCTTCAAGAAAAAGCTACAGGAAGAGTGGTCTATTTCCTATGCAACAGGTAACGTTAAGGAGAATTAGAACTTATATTAGATATTAATATTGGAAGATAAACTTAAGACAATTTAGGTTATCAAAATAGCTGAATAAAGGACAACGTCATTATTTCTGCCCCTACAGGTGGTTAGCAGTTGGAGAGGATGATGGGAAAATAGAACGTCTCCTTCCTGTGAGCAGCCCAGAAGAACTAGCAGAGTTTGGCAACCTTGTCAAGGCTAAAGTTGAGAGGTAACAAAACAGTGCAGGTTTTGAAGAACAAAATGAGAACACACAGTTCAGAATTTATCCCAAGACAGTTCCTTTGATTTGTCTGCATGAAATGTGACAACTAACAGACTTGGTAACGGTCCCTTCACTTTCTTTAAAGTCTTTATGGAATGGTAGTCTTTTATGGAGTCTACTACAATTCAATATGCTATCAACTGTGCTGTTGTATGAGGCCCAAAGATTTTAGTGTCACATATATAAATTATAATAACCACTCACATTTGTTTAGGGACATGAATGATGGCCACCTGTGGTTCTCCGTGAAAGGCCGCCCTGCCCGGAGTCCGTTCACCCGTGTCCAGCGCCTGTCCTGCTGCCTGACACTCCTGTACAGCACCATGGTCACCAACATCATGTTCTTTGGACAAGGAGACAACTACGACTCCCCGGAAACAATCAAGATTGGAGAAACAGAATTCAATGTACCAATGGATCTTCCTAAGGTAAGACTTGTGAAAATGGATAGCAAGTCGAGAGGCAGAGTCTTATACGTAAATTTTCTGCTTGAATGGATGTCTGAAACCATGAAGGATTGCATATGGTCAGTTTTTTCCAACGGACTACAGCCCAAAATGAGCAGAAGATGATTTACTACTCAGCATTTTACTCCCAATATGCCATACAGTCATGTAGTTATACTATAACTTATATTTTATCTTGTTGTAAGTAAGAATTACAGTGTAGTCTGCTGGTGGTGGTTTGTCAGAAAAATCCTTTACTGTATAATTACATGTTTCTCAATACGTTTCTTACAGCTGATGATCAGTTTGCAGACTGCAGCAATCATCATGCCTGTCAATCTACTTATTGTGTTCTTCTTTAAGAATGCTCGATCGAGACCAGTCAAACAGGTGGAGACCGCACAGCCTCGTATGTACATACTGTATCATCTGGGAGAATTCTTAGTAGGGGGTACACAAACAGCTTAACCATTGTTACTGTGGGGCAATCAGTAGTTAGGAAAAGATTTGGGTGCCACTTGAATAAAGGAGAAAAATGCTTGTAAGGGGGGGGGGGCTCATTTCATTAGCTCTGTCCTTGGTGCTGATTGGTAAAGTTGTACCTTAGCTTTATGTCATTCTCTTTTCATACTGATTCAGAAGTAGATAAGCTAATGTTTGATAGTTACATGTATGATATGTAGTTTCTGCAGTTTTGGTGCAACAACTCAGGCCAGCATCTACTGAAGGGCAACCTTGGGAACCAGCTTGGACAAAAAGTCCCTCTGACAGTAGTTTAGACGGCGATGACCATGATGATGGTACTTCTAATGCCCAGAGCACACACAACAGTTCTTCTAACAAGGACAAACCCAACAGTTATTCCTATAAGCACAAACCTGGTAGTAGTGTCAGTGTCCTGGGGGATGAGGACAACAAATCATTCTCCAAGTCTCTCTCCACCAGTCAGAGAACAGAAGACCCCATGCTGACTTACTCTCTAGGGCTTGAAAGAACATATGCATTTAGGCCAAGGTGAGCACAAATTTGGTTGTAGGGAACTAGGAGTAAGTGAAGCCTCTGTCACACATGGCCTTCCAACCTTCCCCAGACCATGGTTAGGAGCAAGGTCATATGATGCATCTAGTCTTGTCTTTAAAAGTTGTCTGCACCAGCTTACTTCACATTTTGAAAAAGCAGAGTTGGGAAAGTCTTATTCTGCTCAGATGTGATCACAGTGGCAAACTGATGCTAGAAAAGGATGGATTCCAGACTACTCTGCTGACCTTAGTTGGAGGAATGTAATGTCCTGTTAGTTTTACAGTTACTGTAGTAAAACTGGAGAAAATAGATGTTCACAAAAAGATAAATTGTTGATAATATGGGTAGGTACTGAGTTTTTGCTTGACTATATATAGCTGTATATTGTATAATTGTATATATCGTATGACTTTCACAACGTTTCCTATTTAGAAGCCGAGGTGTGCTGATGACTGCAAAGCACATTCTTGCTTCAAAATTTTCTTCGGAAAAGAACACAACCAGTGACAGCTTCAGTGAACATTGTGAACCTAATCTGGAGGAAATTAATGATCACAAAGAACAGTTTGATCACAAGGAAGGCAACGGTTCCAAGGAAGAAACTGATTCCAAGGAGGACAAAGGTTTCTTACCATGGTGGACACTTTATATTGGCAAGTGTTTCTTCAATACTCAGTTCGGTTCATGCCTTAATAAGCATAATGTACCATGTACTTCCAAAGTAGGATTTTATTTGCTTTGTTCAGAACTGTACTATTGGCCCAGCACAAATGTAATCTATTTTATCAGCCCTCCTAGCTAAAAGGTTTACTCTGACACAAACATCAAAAGACTGAGTGTATAATATTATGTTTTTTTCCCTTGTAACACTATATTTTTTATAGTAAGCCTTGTCACCTAGTTTCTAAAGACATTATTTTGTCTATGTAGAGCAGAGACCTTCCAGTAACTTTGTACGAAATTACAGTTACATGAATTGCAAAACTGTGTCCATTACAACAGGCTGGCTGCTGGTGTGGTCGGCTAGTTTTGTTGCAGCCTTTTTCACTGTGCTGTACACACTGTCATTTGGAAGGCTGAAGGGAGAAGCCTGGTGCATTGCCTTTGTCACATCCTTCGTGTCAGACCTCATCTTGATACAACCAGTCAAACTAGTCATTGTGGCAGTCGTCTTTGCTATTTTTATAAAGGTAGGGATAGTGATGAGTGAATAAATGTCTGAATGTTGCTAACTTTATCAGCTATGTGAAGATACGAGATTTATATCTGATCCTTATAGGCTTCTACAAAGAAAGGTTATCTAAGTAAAAAAAGTTTGTCATAGACTTAAGTTTGGTCATGAATGAAAAGGCATTTAAGAGATATGGGAATTCTTTTTACACAACCAAAGAGTCTCACCTCGCTGACGTTTCGGTGTCTGTCAGACACCTTCTTCAGAGCTTCTGACTGGAGTACTGCATCTCGCCGCTATATGTAGCCGATGTAGGTGGCGCTTTTGCGGCGAGAACACTATCCCAAACGTGGCTTAGTTTGTACCCCCCCTCGTCCCGGTTCATTACAGGGGTTGACTTCCTGATCCAAACTGCCTCCTTGATCCAGCGGGTCCTTCTATTGTCTTCTCTGTCTATAACTTTCGCCCCCTCCCAGTCAATTACACAGTTATTTCTAGCAATGTGATCTGTCACTGCTGATTTCTTTTCTTCTTTTTGTGCATGTCTTTTCTGTGATCTTGTGTACTTCACTGTGTCCATGTTGTCAGCTTCCTTCTTGTGTTCTTCTAATCTAGTCCCAAATGTGCGTCCCGTTTCCCCTATGTAAACTTCACTGCAGCTCTTGCACGGGATCTTGTATATGCAGTCCGTTTTAGCCGTGTCCTGTAGTTTGTCTTTTGGGTGGACCAACAGACTCCTCAGTGTGGTTTTTGGCTTTACTGCGGTGGCAATGTTGTGTTTTCTGAACACTCTTTCAAGGGGCTCTGTGATTCCTTTGACATAGGGGATAGTGTTCTCGCCGCAAAAGCGCCACCTACATCGGCTACATATAGCGGCGAGATGCAGTACTCCAGTCAGAAGCTCTGAAGAAGGTGTCTGACAGACACCGAAACGTCAGCGAGGTGAGACTCTTTGGTTGTGTAAAAAGAATTCCCATATCTCTTAAGTTTTACCAACCTGATGAAACTATTTTCGGAAGGAAAAGGCATTTACATGACACACTTGTCCTTAGTGCTGATTGGTCTGCACGGTATCTGTCCTTGGTGCTGATTGGTCTGCACAGTGTCTATCCTTGATGCTGATTGGTCTGCACAGAGTCTGTCCTTCGTGCTGATTGGTCTGTACAGTGTCTGTCCTTGGTACTGATTTGTTAGCACCACCTCAATCCTTGGTTTCATGACATAAGCTCTGTCCTTGCTGGTTGGTCTGCACAACACCTGTGCAGGTTGGTCTGCACATGTACATCTACTAAATTTATCACTATTTGTACATTGTAGTCACCAGTAATAGATGAAAACCCCGAACCAAGACCACTAGACACAGATGAGGAATACCTACAGTACAAGAGGAAGCTGCAGGTGAGACCCAGTAGTATAAAATACTGTAAACAATGCCTACCTGCCTAAATGTTTAAGGCCAGGGCTGGCCCTTTGCACCTCTAAACAATTTGGCCCAAAAAACAGGAAAACATAGAAAAACTTGTTTTTCATCATTTTTAACTATACCGTAAGATTTCATTAACAAGATCATTTGAGCATATGAATAATTTCCTTCAATGTTTACCAATAAACTACTAATACAAGACATGTGCAAGCACACAGTGACCCATTATCAAAACCATACTTCATACAGCAGCCGAAGGTGACAATGCCTCTGAACACAGCTGACCTGGCTGCAGAGAGATCCAGGAAACTGGATGACAAGAAACGACGTAGTGCAGTTATAGAGGTAAACCTTGTCTTTGCTGTCATTTTATTGCTCGTATTTTTCAGCAGAAATGGAACAGTTTAACATAGCCACAAGATATCTTGTTAGGAAGAAATGTACTGCATCTACACACTTTCCAAGTTGATGACTAGAGGAGCAAGGTGATACTGTGCTTCTCTAGTCCTCCGTATTTCCAAGTGGCGGGATTAAACTGAAAAGGGCGAAAATTTGATAACAAGCCACATGCACTGTTTTATCCATCTATCCGTCCATCTGCAAGGGATCTATTATTTTGTATCCTTCAGAAATAGTTCTGCTGTTTTAACAATCATGTGTAATTTTCTCTGACAGGTTTGCTTCTTTGCCATCTTTACACTGGTGGTGATGATGAATGTCTACAATGAAATCGACCCACTCGCCTTCTACATGAATGAGTCCGTCAAAAACTCACTACGCTACGAGACTGAAGAAATTACTTTTGATGAGGTAATTAGCACCCCATATTCTTTCACCTGTATAGCTAAGTGATAACATGTTGCCTGGGAATTTCAATTGGATGAAGAAGATGTTGGCGCAGATTGGTCTCTGTACAGCTTTTGTCCTTGGTGCTAATTCGTCTGCATCTGTCCTTGGTGTTCACTAGCTCTGTCGTTGGTGCATTACACACAGATATCAGACATAGAGTCCTTCTGGGTATGGCTCCAGGCTGGCATCCTCCCAACGTTGTACTACAGCTCATGGTACAACAACATGGCCGACCATGAGTGGGTCATCATGGGGAACAAGAACTCCTGGCTGGTGGGGTCACCAACGATACGGCAAGCAAGATTAGACCCTGGTAAGTCCTGGTCTGTTGGTTAGAGCCCTTATCCACAGACACTGTATGTGTGTCTTCTATCAATATTGTATAGCTTAGAATCAATGTGATACAGTAGATTGTGCTGGATTAATGTATAGCTAGTGCTCATATATGATGCTTAGCCTTACATTATATTAGTTACAGTCATTGTGTAATAATGTAATATACTTTGTCTTGACTTGACTATTGGCCTTTCCCCAGAATTATCATGTCAGGTCCCAAGGTTGATGCAGACATACACAACACGTTGTACCTTCAGCTTCTCACCATGGCACATGGCTACATCCAATCACAGTGTTGGGTGGCAAAATGTCTCCATGTCAAACATTACTGCCTCTCAAGAGCAGCAAAACCCATGGCTCTACACAGAAGCTACAAGTGGTGCGTATATTCATTTATTTCAACACTCACTGCCAAAGGCTATTGAAAGATACACACAGGTAACCTAACATGCAGTATAACAGTATAACTGAAATATTTTTCCCTCAATTTATATCTTTTTTTTTAATAAAACTTACAGTTTACAAAGCTAAATGTTGCTCAATACAAGACATAACACAAGAACATTAGGTTTGTATATATTAACATTGTGTTTTTGGCATATCTAATGACTGTTGTGCAGATCATGATCAGTATGTGTATGTCTCAGCAATTCCTTATTTCCAGTGTTCCCAACTTTTGGTGAACATGGGATCTACACTGAGGGAGGTTACAGCACAACACTGAACCTGACTCAGAGCCAGTTGCTGCAGGAAAGTGGCTGGCTGGATGAGAACTCTCGGGCTGTTATGGTAGGATTCAGTCAATACTTTGAAGCATTGAAAGATGGGTTACTGAAACTGTGCTTAACTGTGCTTAAATGATCATTTTACAATCAGTGTCCTGTTGTACTTGAAACATCTAACACTACTTCAATGAATATTCATGTCAATTCTTTGATTTTTTAAAATATCAATATAGCAGACATACCAAATGGTAGCCTGCATAAGTGTTGATATTAACAATTATGACAAGGTTCAAACCCATTTGTAGACCACTGACATGACAGGTCCCCTCTTTGCTTTCCAGATTCAATAGTCTGATTAATATGCAGTTTGATTGACTGATGGAGAAACGAGTTCTGAAGACTTTTTGTTCTAGGGAATGGACTATTAAATCTTCAACCATTCCAATCTCTATACAGGTGGAAACAATTTTGTACAACCCAAATGCCAACCTTTTCTCCGTGGTGACGTTCTTGGTGGAGTTTACCTACTATGGAAACGCCTTCCCCTCGGTCTCGATCTCCACACTTCGCCTCTTCCAGACCTCCCAAATCCTCTTAATAGCCATGAAGGGCATCATGGTGCTGTTCCTCTTGATTTTTGTGTACAAAGAAGGTAAAAATGAAGTGCATTGCATTATGTCTGTGGCACTGACTTGTCCTCAAAACACACTGAGACCAGTACCTATTAGTAAGTACCTAGTGCATGGTGTTGCCATTAATATTGTCATAATACAGTAAAGCCAAGGAAAATCAATTACAGTCCTGAAAAATTAGGGTTAGTAAGGGTACATCTCTTGTAAATTGTTTACTACACACGTCATGCACACTATACTACACATGCATGCTACACACACATCAGGAGAAAATGTCAGAAAAAAATTCAACAAAAATTGTTTTCATTAGTCAGATATCAGATCAAATATTTTGTCAGCAATGTCAGCAGTAGAAGACAAAACCCCAAAATACTTTAACCTGAAAGTCTGACGTCTCTGATTTCTTGTTTAACTAGGGAAGCTGCTCGTGGCACAACCAGTGGGGTACCTGCAGGATGTGTGGAACTGGGTGGAGCTTCTCGTCATCCTGGCCGGCTTCTCCACGCTGGCCGTGTACTTCCAGACCAAGTCGGTGATCGACCAGGTCAGTGAACCCGGCAGCCACACCCAGTTCTCGGTGTACCGGCGTGCGGCTGGCTGGGTGGAGGTGTACACGTACGTGACGGCTGCCCTGATCTGCTGTGTCACCCTCAAGCTCGTTCGACTCATCAGGTTCAACAAGGTGACAATCAATGGGATTTCTACTCAATAAAACTAATAAAGAAAGCAAAATGTTCCTACCAGCACTATTTCAACACGATATCATGCTGTATAAGTGGAGATTTGTTCTTTGTGCTATCAGAGTATGTGCTAACATCAAACATGTAATTTTTATGCCTCAAATATTCTAATACATGTATGTATATTTCACTATGTGCAGGTCTGCCATCGTCTTGACCAGGATTTCTCTGAATGGATTACATATTGCCACATATTACATAGACTTGTGTAAGGTATATTAAGTCTCACGGTATGTTTGTTGTAATACATAGCAGATTTGCAATAGACTTTTCTGTATCTGTTAACCCAGGTGGTGCAGGTCCTCTTTCTCACCATTAGAACATCCTTCAAACCACTGTCTGCCTTCATGCTGATGGCTGGGATAGTCATGATGGCTTTCACCCAGGTAAAACATCTATGTACTTTCAGCATAATGATTATAATACCCAATAGGTAGAGGCTTATCCTCATGAAAGTGCAGCTTGGATGTTTATTTCTAACATTGTAGTACATGTATGTGCAATGATTGACAACATGCAACTGGAATTTTTTAAATCCAGTATTGATACTGGTATAAATGGTAAAGTCATCCTCCAATCATTTGTAAGGACTTCTACCATGTATCATGTGTTGTGCGTTCTTCAGATGGGCAGCCTGTTGTTTGGGGCTAACCTGCAGACCTACAGCAGCATCGGCAGCAGTCTGGCCTCCATCTGCCTCATGACTATCGGCAGTTTTGACACAGCAGAGCTGACAGAAGTGTCGTGGATCTATGGCCCCATCTTCTTCTTCCTTTTTCAGGTGATTAGTGGACTCTTATTTGGTCATATGCATGTATAATTGACAGGGGTTATAGTTTAGTTAGTGGATGATACCACTATCCCTGTCCTTGGTGCTGAAAAACTACCACACAGACACTACTGTCCCTGTCCTTAGTGCTGAAAAACTACCACACAGACACTACTGTCCCTGTCCTTAGTGCTGAAAAACTACCACACAGACACTACTGTCCCTGTCCTTAGTGCTGAAAAACTACCACACAGACACTACTGTCCCTGTCCTTGGTGCTGAAAAACTACCACACAGACACTACTGTCCCTGTCCTTGGTGCTGGAAAACTACGACACTGACACTACTGTCCCTGTCCTTGGTGCTGAAAAACTACCACACAGACACTACTGTCCCTGTCCTTAGTGCTGGAAAACTACCACACAGACACTACTGTCCCTGTCCTTGGTGCTGAAAAACAACGACACTGACACTACTGTCCCTGTCCTTGGTGCTAGAAAATATCACAACACCACCGTCCCTCGTGCTGTATAACTTAACTAAAGCTAACAGATGATTTGGTGATATACCAATTATGTTTTGAACACTGCAGAACTAACTACTCACTGCATGTGGTGTGACAGTATTATATATATTGTTTGTAGGTGACCATGCAGTTTTTCCTGATGACCATGTTCATGGCCATCCTGATGGACACGTACGCAGACGTGGATGAAAACACTGACGCACAGAAGCTGAGGATGATGGCATACATGCATGGAATAATCATCACAAAAAAGAGGAAGATGCAGCAGACTGTGAAGAACAAAAGGAAACCTCGAGATGCCAGGTTTGAGATACACCTTGTAAACCTGCGAGGAGATCTGAGTGTGTATAGTAAAACTTTTGACCATACCAGCAATGCACTGGAGTATGGGCCAAATGACTCACAGATAGATGTGTAGCGCTTTGAGTGCAGACCAGTGACTGTCATGTATCACATTACTGAGCTAATACTGTAAATAACCAAATATGCATGAATCATCGCTTAAAACCGACTTAATCTTCTCTCTGGTCAGTGAATCAGCACCTAAATGTATATAATGAATGAACAGTTGACAAGCAATAAGAACAAAATACTATGCTTACTTTGATAGTTTACATGATAACGTGCTGCCGACCCGTGGCAGGGACAACAGCAGCAGTATAATCAAATCCTGGATAGTGAGTGAGTGTGATAAGAATCACTAAATTGTGAATAATGATGAAGACAGCCAATTGTTCCTGAAGTCATTCTTTATTAGATACCAGAGCTTGTAAACAAACAGCATCATACAGGGTTGAAGAAGCCGTGGCAACCATTTTCAAAGAACCCCACATATTATTTAGGCGTGCATGCCTCTATGTTGTGACTAAGACATCATCAAAGGCTTAGATAAATAAAACATGGTGTCTGAATAGTTTACTTTCTTCACACTTTTGTCTTGGAATTGCTTGTGTTTCTGATGACACATCTACATATTTCTGCATTCTGATGACATGTCGACAGTTTCAGGTTTGCTACAAGGGTTACTGTGGTAAGTGGGGAGGCTAGCCTGGTCTTGTGCACTATGGTTTCAGTCCAGTCCAACTTGGGAAGCGTGGCTATTTGGTGCCAGCCAAAATAATATTTTTTTTCAAAAATAGTAACATAACTTTCATGTTTGATAAAAAATTTGGCAATGTCAATCTGTTGAGAACATTTTCGTTTGGGAAACTATTTGATCACAGTTCAGAAAATAAATTCATGTCTAGCCATCCGCTGCATTTGTTAGGTGGCACTAGCCTATGTAATTATGCAGTTCATTTTGTGGGATCTCTGTTCAATAATAAGATTGCTCTTGCTATGAAGTGCTCTCTAGCACAGTTTACTAAATTTTAACTATTTTGTTGAGATAGAAGGTCCTAGGCACTGTTTATACTGTTTTTTTCTCTTGCATGCCCCCAACTCATGGACCATCTCCTGATGTTACAGGGAAAAAATAAGACTGAGCTGGGACATGAGCAAAAAAAGCTGGTAACATCATCCATTTTCAAAGCAAATTTTTTTAGCAAAACTTGTAGAGCATTGGCTGGACCAGAAAGCCTTCCTCTTTTCCAAGCATAAAGCTCAATACAGCCTAATATACAAATGTTTACCCACAAATAACCAAATACATTAATGAAGATAAACTGCCCGCTCACATTGTGTCAAAAGACTAGCTCTTCCCTGCAGAAAGGTTAATGTATGTTTCAAAACAACAAGGCCTAGATAAAAATGTTGTTTTTCCAATATCAGTCCTGGAAAAAGAATTGGACAGGTGGGTATTCTTTTTTTTTCTAGATTTTGGCTGATTGAGAAGTTATCAATCAAATATGGCTGTACATGTGAAACTGATGCATCTGGTCTATCTCAAGGACCTGTCAATGTTCTTGTGGGGAAGGGACAAATATTCCAAATATAATCAATAGAAATTTTCTTTAGGAAAATGCATAACATTTCATACTTTTAAAATTCATATGTCAGATCCAAAGTTTTATGGCCTTGTCAGTGGTTAACCTAAAGAAAAGGCTAGGGTCAGCAGCTTTTCCTAGGGCTAATTGGGAAACACAACATTTATTCCTTAGGCCCAACACCTCCACCACCCCCTTGCAGCAACTCCTAAGCTCAGTACCACCACATTACAGACTTCAACCTCCTTACATGAAGGCCTGGCTCACTTCTCCGGGAAGCTCACACCATGAAGGGGTTCTACACATTGATTTTTGCATTCCATGAAGACTAGAGTATATCCTTGAAGCAGCATCCAATACTTCATACATTGTCGTTGATCAAGTTCTGCCAGCAATACATAAATGTGAGAAGAATCAATTTCAACTGACAGACTGGTGAAACTGAGCCTAAAATACCATGGGCTAGGATATGATAAAGAATTTGAAATTTGTATTTGATTTAATACTTTGCAATTAATGTACTTGAAACAACCATAGTTTATGAATGATACTCAAAATATAGCTGAAGCTGGATTACTTGAGTACCGAATGAATCATAACAACCAAAGTTTGTGGAGTTTTTCAGCCTTGGAACCGGCCGTAGTCTAACATGTAACCATTCTGAACACAGCTTCAAGGAGATACATCAGGAATTTGTCCAGACTTGCATTGATCGGCATCATTTCTGAAGGCTAGTTTGTGAAAGATAGATATATCATTTTCCGAAGTAAAATATATAAGTTAATTTCTGCCTATTCTCTCTGAAAAAACATTTGGGAAGGTATCACTATGTACAAGAATGAATTGTCCAGTCTGAAAATATTCCATCTCAAATATGACTCCTTTGTAGTCACAGCGGGGGGTTGTCTTGTACCTGATACCAGAGATACTGAAGACCCGAGGAAGTATTTAGAAGTCTTTGCTCTCCCCTTTCTGCTACTTTCTGTACACCTCTATATATATTTACACATCTCCTGTACAAATATCTTCACAACAAAGTTGTATCACACTTGCTGATACTAAATACCTGTAACTGTTAAATAATTTTGATGCTACAGTAGTTAGAGCTTTTTCTCTACCCGTATAGAAATATTGTAGTGGGCCAGCCGTCTAGTACAATAACATACATATGGTAGACACATTTTCAACTTTGTACAAATCAAGTTACTTCCTCAATAGCAGCACCGTACATGTATCATCACAACCTCATCTTCCTCTCCTTCCCTTTCTCTCGTTGAGTACAATAGAAGTGATTTAAGATAAATATGTATTTTATGTGCACATTCCTTATTGGAGAAGACTAGAAGAAAACACATTTCATTTACCAGGCAACCATAACAATACAAGTCGTCAACTCAAGGTTACCCAAGGTCACCCTAATCTTAACTTTTAAGTATTCTTTGTACAAATCAGTAGCATGAAATAAATCAAACATAACACTAACTTAAACATCACACAGTTTAGTCGAGTGTATATTATACATTTATATATGTATGTATGCACTATACAGATATCAATTTTCAGGTAGTTTTCTTTTTACATACTGGTATGTACTAAGGTTATCATGTCCACATCTCTTAATGTATAGAAGTGCAGAAATAGATACACTAAAGTAAGTGTGGCAATGACTATCTTACATTATGTGGGGCTCTTCTCCATAGAATAAGCAGGCAGCTGACATAATTACCTGTACAATTCTCCTCAGTGCATGCTTGGATAGTCTACCCAACTGTAGTAGTACTGTAACACCACAGGGCAATGCACCCTTGCTTAGTGTAGATATACTTGTTTGCTACTCAAGCTTACAATTTTTACACTATTTAGCAATCCTGTCACTATTCGTTCCTGTAGTTTCTGGTGTCATAAATATTTACAGTAAAGTCATGCCAGGACTTGTGTAGCGGTGAGTCCTGCTGAGATCCTGTCACCAAACATTTTCCACCGACCGCGGGGCCAAAGTCTATTGCTGTTGCCATGGCAACCATTTAATGTGCGTGAATTACAGACAGGCGTCGCCCAGAGTCACGAGCAGGTTGCGCCGGTCGCCCACCTGTGCAGAATCAAGCACGCGGTTCACGAATTCTCCCGTATGACCAGCAACCATTGGATCTGTGGGGAAATACAGCTCTTTAGGGAACAAAATTTGACTGATTTTAAATGCCAGTAATACCAACTCTCCAATATCCTATTCATTTTGTGGTTTGGCTGACATATGTACAACCAAGGTTGTCCAATCTGAGAGGAATTCAAAATAATACAGTTGGAAATAAATTCACAATTACAATCAAAATTTTGTCATAATTTTAACAGCAAAACATAAAGAAAACCACAGCAATTTTATGTATTTCATCATATTTTGTACTGCTGTGATGATTAAAGACCATGCCAGTGCACCACTGTAAGTATGGCAGATAAGGTGCCTACTTTTCCCCATGACTGTCTTGAGGATCTTGTCCACCCTGTAGGCCAGCTCTCCGTCCTGTCTCTCCTCGCTGCCCACAGTCTGAGCCATCTCCCTTTTGATCGCCTTCAGGGCTGTGCACAGCTTTCCTGGTTGGGGAATACAAGCAAAGGAACGTGAACATGAGATTTATCTCCCTGTAACAAACAGTTTATGATGACGGTCTTAAAACTGATGTCTACCGATGAAAGGGCTATTTTAGGATCCTCCAGTTAACTGCAGGCTAGATGAAACTGGCAGTAACTTTTATGGGCAATACCTAGAAAAAATGCCCAAATGCTAGAAATGGAACTTCCATCAATGATCATTGTTAAAGCATCCCATACTATGCAGTCTTTTGTATGGTAGATTAGTCTCATAGTATGATTGTTGTTATATAGCAACAGCTTTGTCCTAGCAGATAACAAATTGCAGAAAAATGGCAATTTTCATTGGCACTTGCTGCAGTTAAGAAAGAAAGCCAGGATATTATTAAGTTGTCCTTCAAACTCACCATATTCACTCTCCAAGCCTTGTAATTTGATCTTGTTAGCTTCATGCTGAGCCTTCTTCTTCAGTCTGCAGGCCCTACAATACCAGAGGTACAACATTTGTCACCAAGAACATCGAAACTGACAATCTAAGGTATAAACTCCAATGACAACTTCTAATAACATATTGTGAGAACCCATGTATTGGACAATATTTTTCAGAAAGCTTAATCACTAGGAATTCCACAAATGATTGTAAAATCACATTCTCATCATAATACATAGTATTCTGTAAGGTACATTAGTCTCATACTTTGTTAAACTTTGTTGTTATACAGAATTGCAACTTGTACGATTTGTTGTGCAATAAAACATCTGGAGCAAAGTCAAGAATTAAAATACATTCTAGCTAGACATCTAAAACAAGTCTCAGCCATTTGCTAACCTGGAGGCCAACTTGTTCTTCTCCTTGCGGCTCTTGGGCCGCACACTGAGGGGCAGCTCGCTGACCGGAGTCAGCTCATTGATGGTCTTGTTGAGCTTGCGCAGCTCCTCTCCAATCAGGATCAGCTTCCTGGGGTTCGGTGTCAAGTCCTCCGTGTCACCACGGCGAATCTTCTTAGATGCCCCCTTAGTCAGCGCTGGGTTAAACACCTCAGACTTCTCCTGGAAAAGTAAGAAGAATCAAGGATCGAAATTTATCTCCAGAAATAACTGCACTCAGGTACTTCTAACCTACATGTAAGAATTCAGGTGCGCAGAAGAAATTTTGGGTCATTTGTAAGATTATTTGTATCCACTTCTTTGTTTGCAGGTGATAGCTATACAAGACCTTATGAAAGTCTGTGTGTACTTTTGTTGTGTCAGTTTATTATCAGAAGGCAAAAATGGAAAGGTTACCTGTAAGTGGAGGTTGGCAGGAGTGTCGGGGTCAATGACCTTGCTCTCGTCCTTGATTTTCTCCTTGATGGTGCGCGGCACGGGCTGGTGGTGCTCCCCGTACTCCCAGAAGAACCGCTGACGCTTCCTGCCTGTTCCGCTCGGGGAGCAGCCGTCCAGCGTAGGAGTACCTGCAGAAGGTGCAGTTGGTTTAAAAAAAACAGTCTGGGATCTTGTGGTAACTATTTCCAAAAGTCTATTTCTTTGAACCATAAACCAGAGATGAGCATAGGAAAGAAGCAGGGCTCACCTGGCTCAGACATAGAGTCCCCTGAGTTGTCGTCACCCTCCTCTTCCTCCTCACTGCCCTGGTCGCTGTCAAACCCCTCATCATGGTCTGAGTCCATGTCCTCCTCCTTTGGTTCATAAACGTCACCAGCAGTGCCACTCTCTCCAGCAAACATGGAGTAGTTGTGCTCCTCTGTCTTCACACTCTGCAGTTCAGGCTTGCTCTGCTGGGAGGCAGTGTCTGGACCCTCCAGGAAGTTCTTGACCTCCTCCCATTTTCGCTCCACCTCCACGCTGCTGCTTGTGGTGGCCACGGCCACGGCAGGCATCACCTTGTTTGGGTCAACAACGGCTTGGATTCTTGGAGCCTGCACGCGGGTGGGGATACTTGGCTTGACCAGCAACTGCTGGAGCTGGGAACAATTTGTTTGGTCCGGCATGCAGGGCTGCATGTCAGCCTCGCACGGCAGGGTCTGTGGTCTGGAAATGGTATGAGTGGTGGGGGCAGGGGGGACCCCTGGTGCACTGGCGTGGTACTGCACCTGAAAGGTGCCTGCAAAGTCCTGATCCACATTGTTCGCCACTCTGGTTGTGGTGGACTGCTTCACAGCCGGTGTGGTCTGCAAGGTGGAGGGGAGACTTGCAACAGCAGTCAGGCTCGGAGATGGCTTCTTTTCGCGCTTCACACTTGTTTGGCCCAGGAATTCCTGGAGATCGGGGTGGATCAAGGATTCGAAGATGGACTGGGAGTCCTCCGAGTTCAGCTCTGCCAGCGTGGGCGTGTGAGAGATGTCGATCTTGTCCTGGTACGGGCTGGACGTGTCGTCGATTCCGAAGAAGTCCGACTCGTGGCTGCCCCAGAGTCCGTCTGACTTTTCACACTTGAAGGACGACAGCAAGTCGCTGTCCACGGTGCCTGTGGAGGACATCAGGTCGTCACAGCCCCAGCGGTTCTTCCCGATACTGTAGTCCAGCTTGTCCTTCAGACTCATCTCCCAACATGGCTGCTCGTCAGCGTCGTACATGGCGCACGGCGGGCTGCTGGCGTACAGTTCCGGGTGGAGCGTCTGGTCCACGGGACTGAATGACATGCCGCACTCGCTGAAAGGGTCGGCGTAGGAAGCCTCCATGCTGCTGATGCTTGGCTGTAACAACACATGCGAATTCGGTAAGCAACAATATTTCACTGTCGATGACTATCCCATTTCCCCATCCGTGCATCCTTCTGAAAAGATAAAGTATCACCTTGGGTTCTGCAGATTGAAAAATAAACAAATGTAAAAAAACATTTGCAAGGACAGATAGTTTTATTCCTTTTACAGACTCACATCAGATTGTTAGCCTGGGTGCCATCTGATCTGATTTGCTCTATGGGCCTCCTTATAGTTGCTGGCCCTAAAAGCTTGTATGGGAGCCCTGGTACACCAATAGGATAGCACCCAGGCTATCAGATTGTTTCTGTTACCCATAAATTACCTTTGTGGTCTTATCAGATCTCTGCTAAGTGTCAAATTACCAAGCTGAAAATTACTTGCCCTCCTCTTCCCCACCCACCTCACCAAGAATCCATAAACTAATTATCCCCTCTGTGTCCACATGTAAGTGTGAACTAACAGCAAGAGTGCATTTGTAGAAAGGGCAGTTCAAGTCATTTGGATGTAAGGCCAAGAAATATAAATTGTTGACTGTATTGATAGAATTTATTACTGAATCCTGTTCCAAAAGGTTGTATTTGTGTCAGATTTGTCCAGTGGGTGAACAGACTTTCATAACAACAGCATGCTTTTCTCTCACAAGGAAATATCAGTAAAAATCACTTTTCCTAGAACAGTTAGCAGTAGGTAAGACCATACCAATTTCATTTGTTGGTTCTTGGAATTTTCCTGAAAAGTGACAGGGCAAAAAAGAAAACAGTCTTGGGCATCCTATGATAGGCCCAAATGCATTGGTACATGGAGAAACTTAAACAATTACAAAGACAAGGGCTTTCTTCAATTTTTGAGGCCAAAATATGAACATTTAGGAGTTGATTTAGAATCTGAATATTTTTTCTTCAAATCTGAAAAAAATAAAAATGAGCGAATTGATTAAATTGCTGTGGCCTAACCTTCTAACCTTTTTAGCCTTCTTCCTGCTGCCTAACCCTATAACTAATACAGGATTGGTAGCCAAAACTGTTACTTCAGTCTGCTAAAGGTAAAACCAAACAGACCATAGAAAGAATGGCAAGAGCTTGTGGAAAGGAGGCTCCACCCACTTGACAAGGTTTTTATTCACTTCCTCTGCATCTCAACAGGAAACACTTAAGTACAGTTCTCAGAAAAGCCTGAACTTGAAAGACTTCCTTTTGAGCTGCCTGCACTTAATCTGATCCAGCTGTATCACCACCACAGGCTAGAAAAAGTCCTCCAGTTGTACATTTAGAAATACTTTGGAGAGTTTTAGAAGTACTTTGAAATAGTTACTCATGCCAGTCAGCTGGTCAAGCATTTTCAAATGTACAGCTGAGCACCTTTGTTTGCCAAACATTTTTTTCAATAATAGACAAAAGATGGTAACCTATACTTTGAAAGGCACAGAATGTTCATTGGTGTTGCCTACAAAAGTAATCCAAAGACAAAAATTTGAAAAGTTACAACAACAAAAGCCTGCCAGCTGTCCAACCACAAAGCTAGACCAGCATGCACAAGTTCCTACTACAGAAGAACAAAACAAGGAGTAAACAATTACCTCACGGTAAACACAGCCACATGACATAAAAACTTCCCCTTGCACTCCTAAGCAACAGCAAAGTTCTAGTATAGAGTTCATCTGAGCCGTGGCAAATACTGGTAGTGCCACTTTCCTGTCTTCTTGGAAGTGGTGAGGGCATCTCGCCCCAGTTGGCACTTGTTTTGCTTACCAGCTGATAAAAACAGCCAAAGTTGAAAACATGTTTGTTGTTGATGACTAAGCCAACCTGGGGGTAGAGCACATGATCTTTTTCTGGGGACCCTGCATAGGGGTTTTGGTGATACTTTTTCTTGCATTACATAATATGTCCCCTAGATGCCAAACATGTTTGTTTTACGCACTGCCAGTGGTATTTTTTCCTGAGGTTTGCAAGCATGTTTGTTGTCACAGGAAAGGCAGCCCTGGACTGGGCCTCCTGACCTTCTCTGGCAATGATAGAATGGATGGAGCCAGGCCGTATGCAATCAATATGTGTCAGCACAAGAAAGTTGCACATTTGTAGCCTTAATTTACTTGAAATTAATTGCAGGATTTCAGACTGATGGACAAAATTGTCCCAACAACATTTCCCTCATGCAAAACTGGGATGTTGGGAAACAAAATTTATAGCTAGCAAAAGCTCTGACCATATAATTGAATCATGTTAAAAATGTCCCTAGCAACAAGTGCTAAATGCAAGTATTGCCTCATGGGCCATATGTACAAAGTTCCTAAAAAATGCCTGTCCTTGGCAACTGACTATTTTTAGAGCATCATGATACTAAAAAAAAACTTGCCAGATCTTCTGTGGTGCCCCAATGAATTATGACTAAGGGATAGATGAGATATATTTCAATGGACCTAAGAAACCAATTAATGTCTTCAATTAGCAGATTTTGACAGGACTGCTCATTGATCATGCATTATTGGGATGTAATGTTGACCTGGCTATCTTTCCATCATTAAATGATGTTACATGATGTGAATATTGTTGTTGTTAAGCTGATAAATATTGTTTACCATTTGGATATTTAAGATTAAAGGTATGATCTGTTTTTGGCTCTAAGGCCACAGCAATTATTTTTATGGATGACATCAGCACACGCATTAATTTTCGTCTGATTTTGAAAAAAAAAAACAAGAAATTTTGTTGCAGTCTGAAAGTCAACATGCCGAAAATGGGCAAAGATGTCTGTTGCCATGCCGGAAGGTGGATGGCAGATAACTATAAGAGAGGAGACAAGAAAAGGCTCTGATTTAATACTTTTTCTTACTTTGATGCAGTGATATGTGATGCTGGCTGTGTATATGTGATGTTCCCACTGAATCAAAACCATTTGTAAAATGATTGAGTCAAAATTTTAAAATGTAGGAACCTTGTCTTTTTCGGCCCACCTTGTTTTTTTTCCGCCCGCTCGCATTGGATTTGGAGTCTGCGGAGGATGTCATCCATAAAATTTGCTTACTGTGGTCTAATCCAAAAAACACAACAGCACTATGTCCAAACTCAGAATTAAACAGCACACCCTAGGGGTCAATTATTGGCAGGAAATTTACTATATTAACATTATAACTAGTCTTAGGTTGTTTTTTTCAACTTGTCTATTATAAGTAACATTATAACATCATAACAGGCATCAACATTTCACGTCTCACCTGAGGCATGCTTGCATTTGGAGGAGGCTGGTCAGGGCCTGTCTGGGTTGTTGCTGTGGCGCTGTCCTGACCAATCACATGACAGCCTGCCTGGACTGCCGGAGCCAGCCTGTACAGTGCGTTGGGCTGGCTGCTTGTAGAGCTCACTGGCTCCTGTTGTAGCCCAGGAGTCGTCCCAGGCGCTGCCGCGAGCAGGAAGCGCAGGTAGAATTCGTGACTTGCGTCTTCCACGTTTTCCTCAGAGAAGGGAGCCACTTTTACACTTCTGAAGGCTAGCTCTGTCTGTAAGACACAAAAAACAATATGTAGAATGCAACTAGACTTGCCAAAAAGGTGGCATATGAGAATATTGACAATACAACCAATGAATTCAAAATAATGTCCAAGTCAACTTCCATACAATGCCTGTCATCGGAACCGAATCTACAATAAGGTTGTTAGATGAACTGTTCCTTTACACTTTGACGACGAAACTTGAACGGTTGGAGCCATATCTTACGAACTCTGGATTTTTCAAGTTGTCAACATCGGCAAGAGTGGGGAGGGTGTCGTCCGAGAACAAAGGAATCTCCGACCGTCCTGCTTCCTGGCGGCGAAACTGTGTCTTGCAATCATCGAGTGGAGATCTGAATGTTCAGGGCAAGTCTAAAGACCCTTTGTATATTTTGGATTATTATTTACTGAGCATCTGGCTAATATCGACTTGCTTATCGGCGTTGTTTACCTGAGATTACACCTATCGTGTTTGGGGTTACTAGAGGTCACCCGGCAAGTACCTGAGTTAAGCTGTATAAACGATGGCTTCTAATCTAGTGGACCCAGCTATCAACGATCCATATCTTGACAGATTACAAGACATCAACCTTTGGGTTAAATTCTTCGTAAAATCTGGAATGAGGCCCAAAGAAGACGACATTGCAAGATCGCTGTTGCATGGTAAGAGCTCAAACCTCCTACAACCTTCTGATATCCTAGGGGTACAAGTTGTATACCCTATGGTTATCATCAACTTGTCGACCATCCAAGCTAAAACGTGTGTCTTGCAGAACCCACGGATCACCATTGCTGGGAGAATTCTCACGTTGCTTGACTTTGCAAGCACCCCCTGTCTGGTCCACCCCCTCGCACAAGAGTATCCATACATGGAGTTTTTCACTCGGTTCCTGATAGCGTGGTTGCTGCTTGGGTGGACAGCTTCGCAGTCCGAGCAACACCAATTGAAAGACACAAAATTAAGACAAACAGTGAGATTTTCAAACATCTTCGATCTGGGCACAGATTCTGCTACATCAGTGAAGTGACAGGTGAGTTACCTCCCAGGTACACCACCTTGACCATCCCACACCCTCACGACCCCCTCAGGTCCCTTGACATAGACCTGGAGGTCTACTGTGGACCCGATCAAATAGTTAACTGTCGCCGATGCAAGTCTTTGGACCACATGTCGAATGTCTGTCCGAAAATTGTTTGTTACGCCTGTGGCAAACAGGGTCATGCCAAGGCTAACTGCCGGGGGCCTGAGAGAGCTGTGCGGAATCCTCCGTCTGAGGAAGAGGAATCAGATGATTTCAGCCCTCAAACGCGCAACTCATGTGACATCATCAATCAGG